CCAATCTCTATTGCATAAAATTGCTTAATGCTTTGTGTTGACTGGCCACCAATACAATGAATCGTAGTTAATTAGGTTATTAGCGACAGTGAAACCCTAATAACTGAATCTATTTCATGTGGCATAGTAACTTATTGAAGCGACAGTGGATTAAATAAGGTGCTATGCGGTCTTAAATAGGATATCGTTCTTCAGGCTGAATAATTAAGTCATTGAGCTACGACAGTAGGATTTGATTTAATTGTTTAGTACGTAGTAATTCCCGACAGGGATACCTAGCACCACAGAGATATCCTGGCTGTAGAGATATGGATTAAACTGATTGGAATGTGTGAATTAATCTGGATAGGATAGGTAGTAAATCCCGGTGTTTCTCCTAGAGCTTTCTCCCATTGAATTAAACCCGACAGTTTACATTTAGTTAATTTGTTTATTTTATTTTTCTTTTAGAAATTAGTCTCATTAAACTATTTTCACTTATAGTTTGCTCATAAATTTGATAGAATATAAGGTTGTACCAGTCCCTGAGAGACGATACCCGGACTTTCCGGTTTACTACGAGATAGGAATTGAAGGCATACGCTTTTGCCCTATCAAATAATCAGTGCAATCAATGCAATTAAGCATTTCTCAAGCTATTTCAAATTAGAATCTCCAATAACTAGACAAAACAGTTTATAGAGCAATAAATAATTTATTGTCTTTCCACCTTGTTTACCCATATCAAAATAAATCAGATCTATCGATTCTGATTCTCTAACCACATATTTATGGGTCTTTTAGCTTGGATATACAAAATTCATAGTTTTCTCAAGCATCCAATAATAATATGGGAATGTGATATAAGATATTCTAATTGTTCACACAGACACACTTGGAAGGATTTATCTTATCTACTTAACCATTCCTTACGTCTGGGATTGTCAATGACTGTCTGGGATAGTCAATGACTTTCTAGAGGTAGGGTTCTCTTCCACTTTCCCAGAACCATCAACAATAGTGGTGAGGGTCTTGCCCAACAACTCTTTCTCCTTCAATATGACTCAATACATGATTGAGCTTATGTACTTTATCAGATGCATGCCTTGCGGCGTCAATATCCAACCACCATTCTTCAGAATTGCCATTAAGGCCTATCACCCCATTAGTGATTGTTACCACCAAATTTGTTCTTACACTTTCGTGTCTTATGACCTAGTTTCTCACAAATTTAACAGAGAAACATAGCGTCATTCTGAGAGGATTGAGTGGCAATCTTATGGTTACCACAAAGGGTACCATTCTATTTGGTAAGGATCTGGTTCGGCTTGTTGCTTTCATTCTTGAAACTTTAACGTTTCAGAGCAGCCTAAGTGGCTCGTGTAGTACTAATAATAGTACTTATTACAAAATCGTTATTATGGGCAATAAACCCACTCTATTCCCATAAATTCTTCAATGCACACATTTAGACAAAATCATTCTTTCCATAGCATGTATTCAATTTATGCTCTAATCATTGAGATAGGTAATATATCTCAATGTCAATCTATCATGCATCAATTCAAGTTTTCATTCTAGCATTCATAACCTTTCTCAATTCCATACACAAACTCATACAGAATTGATTCTAATTAATTATTTATTAATGACCGATACAAGGGTTCCGGTTATTACCTCTTTTCGAGAAACTATTGTCTTTTAACTTTGCAATAGATAGCTAGCACCACATATAGCTTCTTTGTTTCTCGTCCTGCTACTATCCCCCGCGCCTTCTATAAGAGTGTTCCCTTCTTTATGTTCCTCCGATCATAACTTCAAATAATCCAGCCGTTCACGAGAAAGCTTTCATATGGAAATCTTGCCCCATCAAACATTGCAGTGGGAGCAGAGGAGATCTGTTTATTTTATCCAAATAATCTAGGCCCACCAAATTAAATCACCCTGCGAAAATTCTGCACAAGCATATTATTATGGACAAAAGCATATTATTATGCAGGAACAATTAATTGGACAAGGAGCATTTAAATAAATGGACGTGATCAATTAATTAGCCCAAGACTGAAATGAGAGCACCAAATTACTGCATGGAATTGAAGGCATATAATTACTCCCTTCGTGTCCCGGTCAGACACGTTTCCTTTGCTTCCCAGATGTATATCTCAGGCTTTTTACGCTCCACCAATAAACGATCTGGAAAGCGGACCTCGAACCATCCTTGTCACGGCGTCTCCGGGAGTACTTCCGCCGCTTCAAATAATTGCCATATAACTTGACAATTCATATACCGCAAAGGTAGCGGCCCAGACCTTGTTTAACCACCGCTTCGGGGGCTCGATATAGTTGGCGATGGCCTCAACTGCTTCCACCCTCGCTCGACATGCACCTCCACGTCACGATCCGAGGCCCCAGAGATTCCCACGTTATGATCAAGATGGAAGCGACAGTCTCCATCTCGAGTTGTGGTTATGGATCGACAATTTCACTTGTGCCAGAATCGGTATCTATTCGGTACATGCGACAGCAACCGATCGTCTTAAAATTATTAGAAACCAAACAAAAAAATAGGTTACCAATCTAGCTGAGTCGTGGACTAGGTCGCTCTCTTTAAAACGTTCGCGGCACTGCCTCGTATTGCGCACAACAGATTATCAGCAGGTCGCCTCCAGGATAAAACAGTCATTCTAATTTTGTTGCTCATCAGTTTTGTGCGAAAAACCGGAGCTCTTTGAATCTCACTCTCTCTCGTGTTTTTGCTCTCTGAGGTGTGTTTAGAGGGTATGGGGCGTCTCCGATTTATGGGAGCAGAAAACTCAGAATATTGCCTCTTTCTTTGGGAATAAGTCACATTTTAATTAGGAAGATAATTACTCCCATAATTAAAATATAATCTATTAAGATAATTATTCCTAATTATCTCCATAATATTCCTTTTATTAATTATTCATCTTAATTTCGTATTATGGGAAAATACTGGATAATTAATTAGTAATTTCATTATAGCTTTTCAAAGCTATTCATCCCAACAATCCCCCACTTGAATAGTTTGAAACTATCTCTGAGCATCAACAGTTCCATAAGACCGGGCATAAGCTTGAACCTTAGCGTAGTGGTTACACTTCCGATTTCATAAGGGTGACTCGTAGTCTTGAACCCTATCTCAGACAATGTAGCACACCGGACCTTTTCATTGAGTGATATTCTCTCATAGGCCGTGCGTTTATGGCCATGCACGTTATCCCGGTTTAGTGAACTCTTTAGCAACTTTGTGCCTCCAAAGTTCCATAGGGAGCGGCCCCACTCCCACATTCACATAGGTGAGTCTATTAGAAGTACCCCCCAAAGTAAAGTACTTCACGTCTGCAACCCCTGCGTCTGCAACCCCGTCCATAAGTACTTCACGTCTGCAACCCTTGCATGGTGACACGTCTGCAAACCGCAGGGGGGGGGGGCGGTTTGTGTATCGGCAAGGCAAACCGCTCGTTGAGGGAGCGATTCCGGTTGAAGACCTAGAACCGCTCCCTCAACAGGTGGTTTTTGCTAGGTCAGCCACTAGACCGCCTATTGAGGGACTAGTTTCTGCTCAGAATGTTAGCCTCCTCCTCAATAGGCGGTTCTTCCACAAACCGCCTCCTCTAGTGGCGCTTTTTGGTAAATGGTGCTATTTTTGGAATTTGTGTGGGTTGGGTGCTATTTTTATAATTTTTTAAATAATTCTATTCCTGGAAAAAAAATCACTACTGTTAGGGTTTCAACGAGGTGAGGGAAGCAGATGAGCTGGCTATGGACAGGGGCGGGCCAAAGATCAGGTGGTGGGTAAGAACGTAGAGGATTGGTGGATCGAGAGCAAGCTATTTTATAGAGAATAACAATATGTAGATCAGTTTTGATGCATGAAAATCAAAGGCATACTAATGAACGACAACATTTTTACTATCTCACACATTTTTATGTGATTTGTTGACCATACATTTAGAACACAATATTTGGTGAATTTTATCCTTACATATTACCAATTGATCAATTCATTGAAGTTTGTAATCACTACTACATTTTTACTATCTCACACATTTTTATGTGATTTGTTGACCATACATTTAGAACACAATATTTGGTAAATTTTATCCTTTCATATTACCAATCGATCAATTCATTGAAGTTTGTAATCACTACTACATAGCATAATTGCTTAGTTTATAAATAAGTACCTTTTAAGGCAATTCATGATGACAATAAGTGCAAAATTTTCTTCTAGAATACAAAAATTTATACAGACAACAATAAGTTAGGATGATTAGATTAATAACAAAAATTTATTTGAACTAATTACCACTAATGCCACCATTTACACGGAGCACAAAAATGACTTTGAAATCATGAATGAACTACTTTCAGTGAAATTGTTAAAATACTAGCATTTTATATGAAGAAACTACTTAGAATACCCCAAATCATTTAAAAATATGATTGATCTTTTTGTTGGTGGTTGACTCCAAATTCAAAATGTTCTCATCCCCACTAGACCATCTCCCAAAATAATATGAATAAATTGATTAACATAAATAAAAAAATAAAAAATTTCATACGTCCAATGAATACTCCCTGCACAAGTTTAGAATAAATCGTCTTACACCTACATGGGTCAAGAAAAAAAATGAACCAATTAAACTGATATCACAATAAATAAGTAACACGAAATCTATTTACAAATTGTTAATAAATTATTTAACAAATCCGAAATAATTTGAGAACATTAAAAAGCTAATTAACATAAAATGAATAATAAATATAATAATTCATCGGACCAACGGGTCCGATAAACACTAATAAAAAACAAGAAAAACCGCGTATTTGACCTTGTAAGTTGTAACTTGTAAGCCCTCTCCCCAAGCCGGCAGAACTGAGAAGAGAAAGACTAGTCTCCATCATCATCGCCATTAGACCAAAACTTGAAGGATTTTTTTCTTCCTAAAATTAAAAATTCCAATGCTTAAAAATTAAAACCTTTCCCATATGCCCGCAAGCTCCTCTTCTCATTTCTGATTTCTCTCACTACAAACAATTATTCCCCCTTTTTTTGTTCTTCTTCTCACAAGAAGACGCCGTCGCCAGTTCATTTCATTCACCCTGCAAACCCTGTTTCGTTTCCCCTCAATCAAGCCCTCTCTTTTTTCCTTTTCATTCTTTGATCCGATTCCTCGATCTTCGTATTAAGTTGAACTCCAGGTGCGTTGATTTTTGTTTCTATCCTTCCTTTTCTTTCTGTTTTCCACTTCTCCTTTTCCTTCCTCCTTCTATGGCCGACTTGGTGAAGCAGATCTTGGCTAAGCCAATCCAATTGGCCGACCACGTCATCAAATCCGCAGATGAAGCGAGCTCCTTCAAGCAGGAGTGCGGCGAGCTGAAGTCCAAGACGGAGAAGCTCGCCGCCTTGCTCCGTCAAGCGGCCAGGGCGAGCTCCGAACTCTACGAGCGACCGACTCGCCGCATAATCGACGACACAGAGCAAGTCCTCGAGAAGGCCCTGGCGTTAGTACTCAAATGTCGCGCCAACGGAATCATGAAGCGGGTCTTCACCATTATCCCCGCCGCCGCCTTCCGCAAGATGTCCGCTCAGCTCGAGAACTCCATCGGCGACGTGTCCTGGCTCCTCCGGGTTTCTGCCTCCGCGGACGACCGCGACGACGAGTACCTTGGACTCCCACCGATCGCCGCCAACGAGCCCATCCTCTGCCTCATTTGGGAGCAGATTGCGATTCTCTACACTGGGTCTCCCGACGATAGATCTGACGCCGCCGCTTCCCTCGTCTCCCTGGCCAGGGACAATGATCGGTATGGTAAGTTGATCATCGAGGAAGGAGGAGTTCAGCCGCTGCTGAAATTGGTAAAAGACGGGAAATTGGAAGGCCAGGAGAATGCCGCAAGAGCCATTGGGCTTCTGGGTCGGGACCCTGAGAGCGTCGAACACATGATTCACGCCGGGGTTTGCTCGGTCTTTGCGAAAATCCTCAAAGAAGCTCCCATGAAGGTCCAGGCAGTGGTGGCATGGGCTGTTTCTGAGCTTGCTGCTCATTATCCCAAATGCCAGGATCTCTTCGCTCAGCACAATATAATCCGTCTGTTGGTAGGTCATCTCGCATTTGAGACAGTTCAAGAGCACAGTAAGTATGCTATTGTTAGCCAGAAAGCTACTTCGATCCACGCCTTGGTGTTGGCGAGCAATGCCAACTCTAACGCTGTTGCTAGTAGCAACAGTAATGGTAGTGTGAACTCAGCAGGACCGAATGTTGAAGAAGATAAAAGCAGGATTAATCACCCTCTAGGGAACAGAACGCGGAGCCAGTTCCATAGCGTGATTGCAAACACAATGGCCATGAATGCAGTCGCCAAGCTTCCTAACGGGAATGCCCCAGTGGCAAACGGGAATGGAAACAGTACTACCCTTCCTGTGGCTGCGGCTGCGAAGCCGGCTACTCACCATCAACACAGCAACTCACTCTCTGCTGTCCATCTTAAAGGGAGGGAAGGTGAAGACGTAGCTACAAAGGCCCACATGAAAGCAATGGCAGCAAGAGCACTTTGGCAGCTTGCTAAGGGGAATTCGCCCATCTGCCGAAGCATTACCGAGTCTAGGGCTCTTTTGTGTTTTGCTGTACTGTTAGAGAAAGGAACTGGGGAGGTTCAATATAATTCAGCCATGGCAGTGATGGAGCTCACAGCAGTGGCTGAAGAGGATTCGGATTTGAGAAGATCAGCATTCAAGCCCAATACTCCTGCTTGCAAAGCGGTGGTGGATCAAATACTGAGGATCATTGAGCAAGCGGATACCGAGCTACTAATTCCTTGTGTCAAAGCAATTGGCAATTTAGCAAGAACGTTTAGAGCTACGGAGACCAGGATGATCACCCCATTAGTTAAGCTTCTAGATGAGAGGGAAGCTTCTAGATCCAACATATAGTGAAAATTCACACTTATATAACATCAATATTCAAATGTTCAACTTAGGTAGCCAAAAATTGAGTTAGGCGAACAGAAAAATCGGAAAATAGGCGCATTTCGCAAACCAAAGGAAAAATGACACAATTTGACGTCCAACCCGATACCTTGTAACTGTTGACCCGATGGGTACGTGTGGTCCGTTTTTCTCACAGGGCCAGGGTCAAAGTGGGTTGACCTGCGGGTTGACAGCCTTGGAGTTGAAAAGGATCCTTCTGAGTAAAAGACACAGGAAGTAGAAAAGAGAAGCTGAAATCTGGAACCTATGCTTGTCATTTTGCTAACAGACAGGAACGATCACTACCAAAGCAGACGTCCTTTTCTGGGGTGTATCAAGGGTAGGGAGGGATCGAACACGGTCCACACCACAGGGCGAATCAAGGGAAGGGAGGCAACGACAAAAGTCTAAATGTATGCTCTAGAAAGGGTTTCTTTGCACTCAAGCCATTGAAACACCTAAGTATTTGTTAACCTCCTTCACTACTATGATTGAGATGTGGATAGTAAGAATAGTCCGAGTAAGTGTTCTTGAATGTAGTTCATGGTTAGTAATGGTTTGGGAGAAGGGAAGAGCGGTTTTTGGCCGTTGCTAGTGGCCGTTGATTGTAGGAAAGGTTCTAGTGAAACCATGGAACCTTTGGTTTTAGGTTGAAGATCTAGGACCTCATGCTATGTTTGCCACCACCCAAAAGGCATTTTCCCCATGTCCAAGACAAATTGCCAGTCATTTGAACTCGTGTCTAAGACCTCTGGACAAGCTAGTGATGACAACCGTTTTGTGAACTCTAGCATGTAGAGGTTGCCGCCGTGGTGAAGAGAGGATAGGGCTGAGGGTTGATGGTTGTGCACATCTTTTTCACCAAATGGTCCTGACCCCACTAGTCGAGAGTGAGTGATTCACTTGGGTGTGTATATGACCTAGCTACAATGATGTGAATGTTTGTTTGGATTGAATGATTAGTGTGTGGGTATGTTAAAATACAAAGTTATGAGGTATTATCATGAAGATTAATTGTGTTTGTGCATTTCAATGCCTTATGCTATTTTAGCCTAGGTACAGGAGAATCTCCTTTAATAGAGGCTTGTAAAATCTGGATTTCCTTGAGCAATATTTGTCTCCAACTTAGGTGAATTAGGGCAAACCTATTAATTCGTATTAGCACCCAGGGTTGGTTGTAATTTGGCTGTCCGAACTCCAATTCGAGAGTGTAGTTGATAACATCGTATTTGCACATGTTTGCACCCTCGTTTCATGATCATTTTGGCTAGAGTTTTTGATTTCTTGAACTATTTCACGCTAGGTTGTGTTCCTTTGTCACATTTCAGGTCCTAGCATGTAAATTGAAGCAAAGGCGCAAGTTTCAAGTCAATCGGAATTCATTTGGCATTTCGGGAGAAGAAACACGAGCATGACCTGAGGAAGAATGGATTTCTACCTCATATTATGAACAAATAATCATGTAATCTTGTCATGAAAAGAAAGTGGACGAGATTACGAGCGTCTGGGATCAAACGCCGATTGATTTGGATTCTGGAAGAGGGAGAAACAAAGTATTAAACAGGAGCGGAGGAAGAAATACGGGCATCCCCTGCCCAATTACGGGCGTAATTGCTTCTGTCATGCCCGTAAATGCAATGCCGAGCCAAATCCCTGAGAATTCCTTCGAAGATCAAATTACGGGCAAGAGAAAAATTAACTATGGTCGGAATTCCACAAATACTGGCAGTAATTGGGTAATTAAGACCGTAATTCCTCTCATCAGTGTTAAGTGAAACGCACGTTTTGGGCGAATTACGGGCAGACCTTGTTTACGAACGTAATTCAGCCCGTATTTCGCCCGGAATTGGGTATTAGAGGTAGATTCAAGCCAAAGGTGAGGGAGTCGACTTTTTGGATAAAAAACAGAGTTTTAGAGAGAGAAAGTGCGAAGAACAAACCCTAGGAGCTATTTGGAGTGGATTTCTCACCATTGAAGCCCAGATTGCATCCCAGGAGTGAAGATCATCATCCCGGAGCAAAATATCCTCATCTTTATGAGTATGACTACTCTAATTTCTATTTTCCTCTCTCTCTCTCTCTCTCTCTCTCTATGGAGTAGAACCTTCTCTCACTTGGGTATGAAGAACCCTAGTTCCATGTGTTAAGGATCTTGATTGTAATGACTTGGGATTGTTATACTGATTGATTTTAATCGATTGATGCATGATTTATTGAGTCAATTGAAGTCTGATCATCTTTTCTTGATGGCTGCTGCAACCTGAGATAGATAGAATCTGATTAGGTTGTTAGAGCTTCATCAATCGGTAGTGGTAGATTGGTTATACGAGAGTTAATCAATTTACTGCTTTATACCGGAATCCAATTCCAGTAGTGGAGTTCTGCGTTTATAGCCTCAGCTTTCTATCCCGGTGAAGACTAGTCGTCTGCCGGGTAGTTGGACTGAGAGGGCTTGGTCAACTTAAGAGATTCCAAGCTACTGTCGGATCTTCCGCAGTTTAATCAACAACTAATCAACACAGGGTAATTACAACCGTGACCTATCTAAGGAACACAGGGTAATTACAGCCAAATAGAGCTTGCCTGTTATTGCATTTCCGGACTGCGATTACACTTGGTCGCAGTTTGGTATTGTGTTTTAGCGTGTCAAGTTTTTGGCGCTGTTGCCGGGGACTCTAGGTTATTGTAGAAATGTGAAAATCTGTTACTTTAGCATTAACTTTTATGCATCCTCTCTTTTCCACCCTTGCTTTACACTTGGGTATTTTGTTTTTGTTGGTGCAGATCTGATACATGGATTGAAGGCTTCTCCAACCATTGGGGATATCCACCACCACCCGAGTGGTATTACCCCGAGAGGATACCCTTCGGAGCATAAAGAAGCACATAGAGGTCATTAAGAAAGCTTGTGCACAGTTTTCTCAAGACAACCTTTATGCTGCCATATGAGTAGAAGAGGAGGAGGAGGAAGAAGGCAATCATGAGGATGTTGAGGAGCATACAGAAGTTGTCACGGAAAGCTCCCATGATAATCATGATCAAGTGTATCCTCTAGTGGTAGATCACAACTGTCCCCATTTCCGCTCTGATATGTTGGGCCCGAGCGAGGAGATGCAAGATGATCTCATTGAAGAAATTACATGGTGACTTGCTCTCCAATCTGTGCTAGAAGAAGAAGAGCGAGAAAGGGTGAGGGAAGCAGTTGTGGAGGATGAGGAAGAAAGCAAAAAAGAGGAAGTTCTTGATATTTTCCAAGGGGAGAGACCACATTTTGAAGAAGGAAGGGGGGTTGAGGAAGCAATTGGTGTCCAGGCTGAGGATGAAGTTGAGGTGGAAGAGGCTTGCACCGGCCCTATGTTACATGTGATATCTCCACCAAAATTAGAGGAGCTGCTTGGCAAGGACCCATTTGCAATGTCTCTTTGCCAGACCAAGACCACATCAACATCAATCCCTCTTGGTGGATGCGATAGTGGTCAATCGATGATATCTTATCTGGTTTGGGGAAATGAGACAAGAGCAAACGCGAAGGCGAGGTCTCGAGAGTGGAGACTTCATCTTCCTCAAGGCCACGAGCCATCTTCATCACCTATCACATCACCTGCTTGTGACTTGAGACTCCACATCATCGACGAGAACCTCAACTTCAAGGAGGTTCTGGGGTGGACCAAAACTTAGGAGCCACCGTCCAGCTAAAGACGTAAAAGAAGCGCTTGTGGGGAGGCAACCCCACCAAGGTTTGTTTTCCTTTCGTTTGTTTTCGGTTTATCCACTTGGAACTATGGTTTCTATCACCCAGTGTGTTTTGATGACTCTAGTCCTGCTGACTGGTTCGATTTCCAGTCGCCCGACAATCCATATTTCCGGTAACATCGTTTCCCTTTATCTTTCCCTCTGCTCCATTGAGGGCAATGTCATGCTTAAGTGTGTGTGTGTGTTGGGGGGGGGGGGTTATCTATTGTTGACTGCTAGATGAGTTTGTGTGCTTGGAGCCTAGTCCGCTGTCCAAATCTCGAGATTTGAGGGCTTCAAGTACTGCTGTTTGCTTGATCGTATTGGCACTGGGTTTAATTGGTGAATTGAATGGCTTTCGAATTAATACATGACAACTGGAGTGTGACTAGGATAACCTATAATGATGACTGAGACGTGCAGTAGAGTTGTGTAGGGGTTCAGTTTTTCAACTATTTGCTTACCAACTATGACTTGGATTGATCACTTGCTCTTGACAGTCGTTTATGCATCTAGTTCAGGGAATCATAATGAAAGATAGAGCATATAGGTAGCCATGTGAGATTTGAGCCTGCTCGTTTCTTTCTTGTGTGATAGATCCCTCATCCATGATGTGTAGCATTCACGTTGTCACTAGCTGAGATGATGGAGGCATAGGAATAGGCCACGACCAAATTGACTATCCTGGTGTGTCATAGTCAGCCCCTTTGAGCCATGTACTTTCTTTTTTTTCAGTCTACACTAGAAAATCACCCTTTTGCATCTCTTAGAAGGTTCCACAGAGTGGTTTTTGCATGTTCTATGCTATTTCTGCTAAATATAATGTGAGGGTTGGAGGTAATGCTTAAAAGTTGGGCGTGTGTTTGAAAAATGTGCAGAGGTGGTGGTTCTCTCAAGAAATGAAAAAAAAAATTAAAAAAAAGAGAACAAAAGAATGAAAGCAAAAGAGAGCCACTACCCAAAAATCTGAATCATGCTCATTAAGTAGTGTTTCTTAGTAGTCTGACTTGGAAATACTAACATTAGTGTGACCTCCTTCGTTCTTGTGCTCTAAGTAATTTGAGTAATGCAGAATAGTAGAAAGAAAGTTACTGGTTTGATTGGGTGTGATTGTGTTGGGTCTGGAACTGTGGAACCTTGTGCAATGAATACTTCCACAACCTAAAAGGCCTTTTCCCCATATCCAAGACCCTAGCCAGTCATTTGAACCTATGTCTAAGACCTCCGGATTAGTTAGTGGTGACACCCAATATGTGAACTCTAACATTTAGAGGTTGCCTTCATGGTGAAGAGACGTTAGGGATTGAGAGAATAAGCATGCACATCTTGCATCAAATTTTGTCCTCACCCCACTAGTCGAGAGTGAGCGATTCATTTCCTTATATTCTCTACACCCTTTACCCCGGTGAGGACCTAGAGTGCTCGGTCTTAATTCTGATGTCTTGAGTTTTATGCATGAGGTGACTGTCTTGAATAAGTGGTTGAGTCAAGTCTATGTTGATTAGTGAACAGAAGGGAGACTCGTCCTTTACCCGATTTTGCTGCACTCGAATGTCTTTTGTGGTGGTTGTCCAAGTTGCTGTTGAAGTTGTCCATGTGTTAATGATCAAAAGCCAGTATGATTCACGTGTTTTGTGCTGATATGATATGTCTCCAAGGGTTTCATGATTAAGATGTTTTGAGCTTACCTTGTATCTGACTTGGTTTGCATGGGGACAAGCAAACGGTTAAGTGTGGGGGAATTTGATAACGTCGTATTTGCACATGTTTGCACCCTCGTTTCTTGATCATTTTGGCTAGATTTTTTGATTTCTTGGACTATTTTACGCTAGGTTTTGTTCCTTTGTCACATTTCAGGTGCTAGCATGTAAATTGAAGCAAAGGCGCAAGTTTCAAGTCAATCGGAATTCATTTGGCATTTCGGGAGAAGAAACGCGAGCATGACCTGAGGAAGAATGGATTTCAACCTAATATTATGGACAAATAATCATGTAATCTTGTCATGAAAAGAAAGAGGACGAGACTACGAGCGTCTAGGATCAAACGACGACTGATTCGGAGTCCGGACGAGGGAGAAACGAAGCTTTAAATAGGAGCAGAGGAAGAAATACGAGCATCCCTTGCCCAATTACGGGCGTAATTGCTTCTGTCACTCCCGTAAATGCAATACCGAGCCAAATCCTTGAGAATGCCTTCGAAGATCAAATTACGGGCAAGAGCAAAATGAACTACGGTCGTAATTCCACAAATACTGGCAGTAATTGGATAATTAAGACCGTAATTCCTCTCATCAGTGTTAAGTGAAACGCGCATTTTGGGCGAATTACGAGCATACCTCGTTTACGACCGTAATTCAGCCCGTATTTCGCCCAGAATCAGGGAGGGAGTCAACTTTTTGGGGCAGATTCGAGCCAAAGGTGAGGGAGTCAACTTTTTGGAGCAAAAACAGAGTTTTAGAGAGAGAAAGTGCGAATAACAAACCCTAAGAGCTATTTGGAGTGGATTTCTCACCATTGAAGCCCAGATTGCATCCCCAGGAGTGAAGATCATCATCCTGGAGCAGAATATCCTCATCTTTATGAGTATGAATACTCTGATTTCTGTTTTCCTCTCTCTCTCTATGGAGTAGAACCTTCTCTCACTTGGGGATGAAGAACCCTAGTTCCATGTGTTAGGGATCTTGATTGTAATGACTTGGGATTTTTATACTGATTGATTTTAATCGATGGATGCGTGATCTATTAAGTCAATTGAAATATGATAATTTTTTCTTGATTTATGCTGCAACCTGAGATAGATAGAATCTGATTAGGTTGTTAGAGCTTCATCAATCTGTAGTGGTAGAATGGTTATACGAGAGTTAATCAATTTACTACTTTGTACTGGAATCCAATTCCAGTAGTGGAGTTCTACGTTCATAGCCTCATCTTTCTATCCCGGTGAAGACTAGTCGTCTGCCGGGTAGTTGGACTGAGAGGGTTTGGTCAGCTTAAGAGATTCCAAGCTACTGTCGGATCTTTCGCAGT